GATTGTTTGTCCCCATTCTGCCCCTTCCCGAGGCTCCAAAGGGCTGGAGGGGATTCGGGGAGAATGGGGGTGCTCCTGTTCCTCCCCGAACCCGGCATTGTCCCCATTCTGCCCCTTCCCGAGGCTCCAAAGAGCTGGAGGGGATTTGGGGAGAATGGGGGTGCTCCTGTCCCTCCCAGCACCCGGGATTGTCCCCATTTTTCCCCATTCTCCCCCTTCCCGAGGCTCCAAAGCTCTGGGGGGACACAGCCTTGGGGAGAATGGGGGTGCTCCTGTCCCTCCCCGAACCCGGGATTGTCCCCATTCTCCCCCTTTCTGAGGCTCCAAAGGGCTGGAGGGGATTCGGGGAGAATGGGGGTGCTCCTGTTCCTCCCAGAACCAGGGATTGTCCCCATTCTCCCCCTTCCCGAGGCTCCAAAGGCTCTCGGGCAGCTCTGGGGGGGCACAGCCTTGGGGTGTCCCGGCAGAGCCCCCCGGGATGGGAGGGTTTATCCCAGGAGCAAATCCAGCCTCCTTTCCCTGCCCTTCCTGGGCACTCCCAGACCCAAATTCCTGCACAGGGAGAATTTGCGCTCCTGGGTGGAAACCGCAGGCTCAGGCTCCACCCGGAGGTGCGAGAAGGGAGAGGGAGCCGCTCACCTSTGCAGGAGCTGTCCGATGTCCTAAAGGCGGCAAGAGAAAGGAGATGGTTGGAGAGGAGGAACAGCGAGATTTGTGTTCCTTCAAATCACGGGATCCAAGAATTCCCGCCTGGTTTGGAGCGGAGGGAATTTAAAACCATCCTAATCCACATCAGCGCCCGATCACAGCCTCGCGTGCGGGCTCCAGGCAGACACTGCAGGCAAAAGCGCTGCCGGTGCCGCCTCCGGTGCCGCCTCCGGTTCCTCCGGTGCCGCCGGTGCCGCCGGTGCCGCCATTGGCGCCGCCGCAGCCCCGGTTCGGCCCCTCAGGGACCGCCGCGCCCGCCGCCATCCTCCCCCTCCCCTCACACACCTCCTCGCCTCCCATTGGGCGCCGCGCCCGCCAATCAGAACGCGGCGCTGCTATTGGTGGAAATCCGCGAGGATCCGCCCACTGAGACGCTCCTTCCTATGTGTTCGCTGCGCGCCGGGCGCGGATTGGTTACCGCTGTTTGACAGGCAGCCGCGCTACCCAATCACCGCGGGGTACCGGCGGCGGGGTGTTCCCGCGTCGTTGCCGTGGCGACGCGCCAGTTTCCCGCCCTTCGCCGTTACCACGGCAACCACGGTGGAGGGGGCGGGACCCGCAGGGGGCGGCGCTGATTGGCCGAGCCGGCTGTCAATCAGTGACGCCGCTTCCGGCGCCGGGACGGGCCCGCGCCGCCGCCGCAGCCGCCGCCCCTCCCGGTACCGGCGGGGCCTGAGGGGAACCGGGGGGTCCTGAGGGGAACCGAGGCGTTCCGAGCGCTCCCGGGGGTTCCGGGGGCTTCCCGGGGAGGAGCCGCTGCCTCCTCCGGAGCCGGGGATGCGCCGCCGCCGCCCCCGGAGCCGCCACGCCCGGCCGGGCCCAGACGAGCCCTGAGGGAAGGGCGGGGCCCGGGTGGGGCTCGGGTGGGGCGGGAAAGGCCCGAGGGGGCGGATTTGGGGTGAAAATGCGGGGTTTGGGGCGGTGAGGGGGGTGGGGAGGGGCCTGAGGGGGGTGCGGGAGGTTCTGAGGCGATTTTGGGGGTCCTGA